TCTCGTCGTATAGTCCATCCGAGGACGAAAAAGCTCTCCCCCTCCACATTGAAATTTAACTATATACGCCGCTAAAAGCCGTGAAATTTGCATGGTAACAGATTTGTTGGGCAATAATCGAGTGGTGGAAACCCGGCGGATAAAATATACGGCAAGATAAATGCGTAATTAACGGGTCGATTTGAAAACGTACGTACATTCGTCCGTTCGCGCAACAGAAGCGAGATAATATCTGCAACGCGTGTACGAGTGCGCGTTACAGAATACACCTGGTTGAATTCGTGGTTAATAATCCGGTCGGGAATACGGATGTTCGGTTTTACGCAGCGACGCGTCCTTCCTCGATTGCCATGGACTCCAATTCCCGTTCGTGCCACGGTATTTTTCTCTCCTTTTTTCTTCTCTTTTTTTTCTTTTTTTTTTTCATTCATTCGTTCGTTCGTTCGTTCGTTCGTTTGTTTGTTTGTTTCTTTCTTTTTCTCTTTTTTTGCGGGGAAACGCGATTATTTTCGCGTATGCGCGCGATTCGACACTTTTGATCCGACGAGGGATGGGGGAGGGGAGGGGGGCATCAAGTGTCCAACTGTCTAGAAATTTTTGCTTGCGGATATTTCGTTCCCGGCTTTTGTGAAACGCGTTTTTTGGGGGAAAACGAGCGATGGATATATCCATCCAAATACCGTGGACGAAGTTAATATTTAATACGAGAAAGATAACGCGCGAGAGTATTTTACGTACGTGAGAATAAATTTGGAAAGTGGAGGAGATAATGTTATCGGATCTAACGCGGTAAAGCAACTTTCCGCGATCTGTATCCCCGTATTTCGCGGCTCAAGTGTCCAAAACTTGCCTCGTTACTCGCTTCTAACGATCCCCTGTTTCCCCTAGATGCATATTCACTTCGCGTTTTTCCCCCATTACGATTAAACGCGTTCGCTAAAATATTTCACGGCTAACAAAGCGTCCTATTTATATTTCTACGTGCCGTGTTATTTAGAGTCACAGAACGGAGTTCTTATCGCTCTTATCACGGGATTGAATTATGTAAAGCATTTTTCTGCGCTATCGAGACTGATATTTTTCCCGATGAACGCGTTATTCGCGTTAATTCGATCGTCGTCGCGACGAGAAACGAAGCGACTATACCTGACTGAAATTTTTGAAACAAATTTTTCCCAAGCGTCGAATCAACGATCGTTCTTTCGTTTCTTCCGCGATAGGGATCGATTAATATTTCAGACAAATTTTCGTGAACGAATTCTCGGAAACAATGAAATATATATATATATATATTATTTACAACAAATTTCACGCTCGAACAAATAACGGATATAAATTAATACCTGATTCTTTCCATTACACGATATTCCATTTTATACATATTTGTTGAGTTTATACATGGAAAGATGTGATTCGTCTATTAATCTTTTATTACATCCTTTCTACACTGTATATTCCTTACTTTAATCAACTCGTTTCAACAACTTAATAATAATAATTTATACATTTTCTGATATCTCGAGGCCCCAATTACAACAATTGCCCGAAAATTTATATCCGTTCCCAACTATTCATTTCACCGACCTTGAAACGCATCGTATAGCGCGTAGCAGGAAAAAATTGTATCGTGCCGCGAACACACGATGCTTTCGCCGATAACACATTCGATTACACGCGTTCAAACACGCGAAGGGAACGGGGGTTTGAAGCGATGGATCCGGTCGAATTTCGAGAGATAAAGGGAGGGCCGATTAATAAGACCGATCGCCAAGAAGGATCCCCCGAAACCTCGGTTTATTTAACCGTTTGTGCGCGAGAGTCGAAACGATATACGTAAATTCGTTACGTGCCAACGATCGGGATGGATGGATGGAATCCCGATAACGCTCATCGATTGACCGTTGTTAAAACACGGATGGCAAAATGATCGGTGGGAAACGGGCCGGTTGCCTCGTACACTCGTAATGGATTCATAGCCGGTGAATGATTAACAAGCCCGAATTGTCGAGAATGATTAGCTCTCTCTCTCTCTCT